GAGAGGGAAGAATTGATCGATCGGCGTCGGAGACCAGACCTGAGAGTGTGTGTCCATTTCGACTGCTATCTGTTTCTTTCTTTCTGACGGCTCAGCACCGTGCTTTTAGTGGCTGGCTATATCTTCTCGCAGAAACTAGAAATGTTGGGCCTTAGAATGGATATTTTGGTATTGTTATTTTGTATAATGAATGGGCTTTGTTTCGATGGGCTCTTAAACATGAGGACATTAACGTCTTTGCCCATCAGATTTAACGACCACGCTATACATGTTTACAACGAAGACTAATGTCTTCTTTTTTTTTTTTTGGGAAACTAATTTTTCTTTCATGGGTGACACGTGGGAAGCAGATGAATCATTCAATAAGTCTCTAGTTTTATAAAAGTTTTCAAATTCTCAACAACCCAACCTATGAAAGTCTTCGCTTCTCGATATAAATATTGTTATACTATAACCTCTGCCAAAGACGATCAGCGATTGAAACACGCATTAGCAACCGATGGAAGGAGTAAGGAGACGATGGCCGAGTGGCAGAGGAATCAGGTTGAGCCCGAAGACTAAGAGATTGCGTGCGAGAGTGAGAGGTTTCTTCAGACTACTGAGGAGCTGGTGCTGGAGGAGGCGGCCGATGGTCAGAGAAGACCGTCTTTACTACACATCTCTACGACGCTCCAACTCTTTCTACGCCGATGCAATTGCTGACTGCATCGACTTCATCAACCGCTCCTCCACTTGACCGCTTCTCATTCCTTTCCCAATTATTCTTGTAATTTTTTAACACAATCATAAATAATATCCCCCTTCTTCTGTAAAGTCCCTAATTCTCTTTTTTATTGGTCCATGAGCACACATTTGTCTGCATTTTTTTGAATGAATTCGTCGCAACGCGTTTTAAAGCGGGTGAGGTTCTCCTGGGCTTCCAATGGGCCTGACAAAATAACCACAAAAGTTTTAAATCACATTTGGCAGTTCCCTTAATCGAGGCCCGTCAAAAGCCCACGAAGTGTTTTAGATCTTTCCTTTTGCTTCCTCGATTCAACGCCCGCGAGCACACTTGCCGGCGACATGGAGGAATACCCGGAAGAGCTCAGGACGCCGCCGGTGAGTCTGGTGGCTCTCTTCGGATACTCTGACCTTCACGCGTCCATTACTAAGCATCTCCACTCCCAGCAGCCTCCCATCAACGCTCTGGCCTTCCCCGACTTGTCCCATCTCTCTCTCCTCCTTGCTCATGATGATCAAATCAGCCGGACCTCCTCCTTCCGAGATCCTCTCAGCGTCTCCGATTCTTCTTCTCCCGATCCTTCCAGATGCGGCGGCATCTTGAAACGGGACTGGTTGCTTAAGCATCGCACCAAGGTCCCTGCCCTTGTCGCCGCCTTCTTTCCCTCGCATCACATCTTCGGCGATCCAACTCAATGGCTACAGGTCTGCTCCGATCTCGACAGCCTCAAGTACTTCCTCATCTCCCTTTTTTTGTTTCCCCTCTCCCTTGTTTCAAAACCTCATATTAACACTGCGATCTCCATTGCCAGATCCGTAATCCGTCCCAAAAACATCAAACTGGTGGTGATCGTGGTCCAATCTTCTCCCCAGGGTAGCTCTTTTTCCGATTCGTTTTTTCTTCACTTCTACGAATATCCTCTCGGCTCACTCTTTCCCGACTTGTTCTAGAGGAAATTAGCGAAGATCGTCTGGTGGCATTGCGAAAGCGGGCAGAGTTAGACTCTAAGTACGTGCTCTTCTTCAATTCCAGCATAGACTCTGAACTCACCCTCTCTCTCTCGAGGCATGTTTCTCTCCTCTTTCCTTGTTTTCTATCTTGCACCTAGAACAAGGGGCTTTTCCTTCAATGCCTCTCAACGCAATATGTTTGCAGAATCGCTTCTGCATTTGCAGAGTTAGCGCTTGCCTATTACAGAGAAGAAGGAAGGAGGATCAAAAGTCGAATTGAGAAAAGGAGTTCCAATTCTCTTGATTTGAATGTTCGCTACTGTTTCAAAGTAAGCTTTTTCGTTACATCTGTTAAGTCTAATCATTTTGTTTCAATGTATCTGAGAAAAGAAAGGCTCATTCATGCCATGACTGCTAGGTCGCTGTATATGCAGAGTTTCGTAGAGATTGGGGTGAAGCATTGAAGTTTTATGAAGACGCGTACCATTCCTTGCACGAGGTCCTTTTCATCACTATTTATTTCGTATTTTCTTCCCAACCTTCTGTCACACTAATCTGTTCTGATTCTAGTTAAGAAGTTGCTTTTGATGCATAAGACGAGCAATTTTGTTTATGCAAACAGATGATTGGGACATCAACTAGGTTGCCTGCAATACAACGCTTGGTCGAGATCAAGACCATAGCTGAGCAATTGCATTTCAAGATATCAACGCTCTTGTTGCACGGTGGAAAGCTCATAGAAGCGGTAACATGGTTTCATCAACATAAAGCATCATATGAGAAGGTTGTTGGATCCACAGACTTTATATTTCTCCATTGGGAATGGATGAGTAGGCAGTTTCTTGTCTTTGCTGAGTTGTTGGAGACAAGCTCAGCAACTGTTCAGAGCTTTTCATCCTTAAACCAAGGAACTGCAGAAATATCTTTGACTGAATTTGAGTTTTATCCTGCTTATTATTATCAGGTCAGTTAACTTTTCTCCACCGAACTCGTAGTCGGAACATAATCTACACTTGGTGCTGCATTTGTTGTTAAATGTTTCTGTGTGTATTATCATTTTCTTAAAACAGTACTATATAAACTAAAACACCTACCTCAAAGCAAATGCTGGATATTTCGTCCATTACATTTGTTATTTTTTCTCAAAATTTTCTGAGCTCATTCTGTGCCTAGTACACTATGTCGAAAGTATAATATGCTCTTATTCCCTGGGAAAACTTCCTCTATACAGTTAGCTGCTCATTACTTGAAGGATAAGAAATCTGCCCTGGAATTGTTGCTGTCAATGTCTGAAACAGCTCGAGAGATTGATAGCAGCTCTGAGTCCATTACTCCTTCAGTCTATGTGGGTCAGTTTGCTCAGTTACTTGAGAAGGGCGAAGCTTTTACACTTCACTCGTAAGTTGTTCATAATTCACTTGCAGATCTGTGTATTTTTTTTTTTTTACTCTCCTACCCCCTATTACAATATGATTTTGTTGTTTGCAGTATAACAGATGAGGAGTACACATGCTATACAATTTCAGAAGCAAAGAGATTTCAAGATTCCTTTGAAATTATTGCTTGGCTGAAGAAATCGTATGAATCATTTACCAACCTTAAAGCCCGGAGGATGGCTGCTCTTTGTGCCTTTGAATTAGCCCGTGAGTACTTTGGTTTGGCTGATCCCAGTAACGCAAAATTCTTTTTCGATATTGCTGCAAACTTGTACAGACAAGAAGGTTGGGTAACTTTGCTCTGGGAGGTGCTGGGTTACCTGCGAGAGTGTTCAAGAAATCTTGGTGCCTTTAAAGATTTTGTTGAGTTGTCCCTTGAAATGGTTGCACTACCTGTAACATCTTATGACGATTCTGGGAACTTGGGAAACAGAAAATATGGTCCTGGCGGTCCTGCAACTATTTCAGGAAGAGAAAGTATACATCGAGAAGTTTTCACTCTTGTTGGTTGTGAAGCCGAGCTGAGATCATCTACGAGAGAAAGTGGATTCACATTACCCAGTGATAGTCCTCTTCATCTTGAGATTGATCTCGTCAGTCCTCTAAGACCTGTTCTACTAGCTTCGGTTTCTTTTCACGAGCAAATGATCAAGCCTGGTGCTTCGTGCTCTATTACAGTGTCACTGCTTTCTCATCTACCTCTTCCAGTCGAAATAGATAATCTAGAAGTTCAGTTCAATCAATCTAAGTGCAATTTTGTCGTCAGGAATTCCCAGAGGCCTCTTTGGGCTTCTGCGTCTAACACTTTGCCAAGTGTTAGCCAAGTAGAGAATGAGCCGTCACTGGTGCTTGTGCCGAATAATTGGTTAAGGTTGACATATGCTATTAAGTCTGGTTAGTGTGATTTGATTATAAGGGTGTTGTTTGTATCTCGGACACTTCCACATATTGCAGCTTATTCGTTACCTAACTTTTCTCGCATTCCTTTTTTTCATCTGCAGAGCAAAGCGGCAAGCTTGAGTGTCTTTCAGTTCTTGCGAAATTAGGGCCTCTTTTCACAATCTGTTCAAGGGCCGAAAGTCCTGCTGCAATGGAGGAATTGCCTGTCTGGAAGCATGAGAATTGTGTGGAATCTCTGCCAATAAAGGACCCAGTTCTTGCAGTCTTTGGCCAGAAAGCTACTCAAGTTGAAGAACCTGAACCACAGGTGGACGTCAGTCTAGGTGCCTCTGGTCCTGCTCTAGTTGGAGAAGACTTTACAATGCCTATTGCAGTAACTTCAAAGGGTCATGCCATATACAGTGGTGAATTGAAGATTAATCTAGTCGATGTGGGTGGTGGTGGTTTGTTTAGCCCAAGAGAAGCAGAACCATTCTCTTTGGAAAGCCATCATGTTGAAATCTGTGGTATTAATGGAGCAGAGGGCAACGATGAATCTGAGTCCGAAACAGGGAACATAAAGAAAATTCAGCAATCATTTGGATTGGTTTCCGTTCCGGACCTCAAGGAAGGGGAATCATGGTCCTGCAAACTAGAAATCAGGTGGCATAGGGCCAAGCCTGTCATGCTTTTTGTGTCATTGGGTTATTTGCCACATGGCAGTGAAGCCAATGCCCAGAAAGTTCACATACACAAGAGCTTGCAAATTGAAGGGAAGATGCCTCTTTTCATTAGCAATCGATTTATGTTGCCATTTAGAAGGGATCATCTATTGCTCAACAGAATCAAGCCAGCCCCTGATTCTGAAGACACGTCTTCTCTGCCGCTGAATGAAAAGAGCGTGTTAGTTGTCAGTGCCAAAAATTGCACAGAGATAGCGCTGAGACTGGTGTCCATGTCCATTGAACTTGATGATGAGCAAGGGGAAACTTCATGTTCGATTCAGCAGAGTCGTGGGTGTGGAGATGACTCAGGATCTGCTAGTCTTGCGCCAGGGGAAGAGTACAAAAAGGTTTTCACAGTCATACCAACAATGAAAACTCCAAAGCTTGGTTTGGGATCAGTACATTTAAAATGGAGAAGGCAGGGAGGAAACACAACAGAGGCATGTGTTTCAACAAAGCACAAACTTCCTGACGTAAATGTGGAGGCATCACCACTGGTAATGAGTTTGAACTGCCCTCCGTATGCCATTCTTGGAGAACCCTTCACTTACGCCGTTAGAATCTGTAACCAGACACAGTTGCTCCAAGAAGCAAAGTTTGCTCTGGCTGATGCACAGAGTTTTGTCCTGTCTGGGTCTCACAGCAACACGGTTTCAGTCCTTCCCAAGTCAGAACACGTCTTAAGTTATAAGCTAGTGCCTCTGACTTGCGGTCAACAGCAACTCCCGAAGATAACTTTGACATCAGTGCGATATTCTGCTGAGTTTCAGCCATCTGCGGTTGCTTCAAGTGTCTTTGTGTTTCCCTCAGCGCCACAGGCCAACAAAGCCAACTCTACCGCCAGGTAGTAACTTCACGCAGGTTTTCATGTGTGTAGTTTCAGCCATCTGCGTTTAAGTTGAGCCTAGTAATATTCTTTCTTGATGTTGTCTTGTATTTTAACAATGGCTGTTTTCTATTTCTTTTTGAAAACTCAGACTCAACTAGAGGATTCGGATACGCATCTTAACTATGGACACAATCGGTTTCGAGTTTCAGAACACCGACATATGTTGGTAGCAAGTGTTTTTATTTCAATGCAAAAATGTTTGTGATCATTCATGTTCGAGCAGATAACTGTGCCATGTATCTCTAGCGTTTTCGGAATTTGTAAGTACCATGAAGTTATCTTCAAGGTTGGTCTTTAATGGATTTGTATCCATCGTTTTGGGCCCTTTTATTTTCATTCTATTGGGCCTTCTTACATATTCATTTCATTGGTGATTGGTCCTTGTGTGTTGGGTATAATAAAAATTTGTAAATATCTTTGCTTGGCATTGTTGATTGATTGGGCTTTGGCTTCTCACTCGAGCGAGCTTAAGCTTTAATCAGAATTGGATCACAGGCGGAGAGCTTTAGGCGACAATGATGGAAAGCCGGCCGGGAATTTTTGTCGTCGGATCCTCCGGCGTCGGCAAGCGCACCCTCCTCTCTCGTACGCATTGGATCCGTTTTCTGTTCCCCTTTTGGATCCCATTTCTGTTTTGTTTTGCTCTAATCTAGGGTTTCCTTTAATTAATTCACAGGACTCCTGTCCGTGGATTTTGAGGATTCATCGGAGTCATCATCTTCTCAAACACAAGTTCATGGGTATGCATACATCTCTAGTGACTGAAGAATTTCATGTGTGATTGAAGAATTTCTTACGCTTGTTTCAACTTTCTTGGCAGCTGGACGATTAACACCAAGTATTACACTGCGGATGTTTCTGTATGGATATCACATATTTGCGATGCCTACTCTCTGCCCAGTCTCCCTCAGTCCCATCCACTGGTGGCGTTAGTTATGGTCTTCGACCTGAGTGAGGTTTGCCCATTGATACCCCTGTGAGTGCGAGTGTGAGTCCTCCTTCTCATCCGCATAACCCTTTTACCCGTTCTTTGCAGCTGTCAACTCTTGTGGCTCTTCAAGACTGGGTTTCTCATTCTGACATCAACAGTTTTGATATATTGTTGTGCATTGGGAACAAAGTAGATCTTGTCCCTCATCACGTAGCTCATGAGCAATATAGAAGACGTCTTTTGAAGGCAACAGAGTCCTCTACAGATCTGTATGACGAGTTTGGGATCTCCGAAAGTGAAGGGATCAGCTTGTTAGGAAGTGAAGATGCATCATTGGATATCAGGGGAACATGTCTTGAGTGGTGCTGTCAAAATAGTATCGAGTTCATTGAGGCTTGTGCCTCTAATCCTCATTTTGACAAGTGTAAGTTCTATGTTTTTCAGACAATCCTTCCTTCTTCTTATTGATGCAGTAACCAGGGGTACTGCAATACGCAAGTTTTTACTCCTTGTTTCCACAATATGAAAAATAGGCTACACAACTTGTAAAGAGTTCCACATTTATGAGTGAAAATGCAGTGGGTAATATTGAGAAGAGGATATGTATTCGTTTCTAGCATTAATGAGACTCAGGGGTCGATCCTTGTAGGTTTATCAGTCGATGGGGATTCTCAAGGGGTTGAACGTCTATTTGGTGCTCTTTCGGCACATATGTGGCCTGGAATGATTCTTAAATCGGGTGATAAGATAAATGAACCCATGTTACCTTATGGGGAAGGTTATTTGTTCCTTCCATTTTTTCTTTTCCCATGTATAGTAAGGTTTCCCCTTGGACTCATGTTGATTGGATCTTACATTTCCTCATTCTCAGAGTTGTCA